ATCAACCCCAAGGGGTAATTGAGGAATATTAAACAAAAGTGCAGACAAGGTCGGAGAGCTTAAGAGATGGTGAAGCACCCTGTGGCTAGCAACAATGGGGAGCTGATGCCGGCCCAGGCCTGAGGGGCAGAGGGAGGAGGCAGTTAATGGAGCCAGGGCCGCTGATGGAGCCGTGCTGCCATTGCAGACCTGAGGCCCTGCGGGGAGGGGGCTGAGGAGTAGATACTGGAGCTGCTCTCTTCCTGTCCTCGGGTCTCCTGCTGGCACCTTCCATCGGCTGAGCAGACCCAGAAGACAAAGGAGCCCACTGATGCTGTCCATCAGGTCAGCCGTGTGGCAGGGTGGAGTGGGACAGAGAGCCAATGGAGAGTATCCAGCAGACTGACCCTGAATCCCTGCTGCTCACCCTCCCTGCTGGCTGTGATGCAGAAGGATCCCTGCTTACCAGGACAATGCCTGGAATATAGTAGGCGTTCAACAAATATTTGTTGAATGCCTATATGCTAGAAGGCAGTGGAATAAGGCAGGGGACTTCACGCCTCTTTCACTACCAATCCCCAGAGCAGCTGATGGGGGATGGTTCTCCCACCCCACCCTTGCTCAGGCCCAGGCAGACAGGGCATGAGCTGTGGGGAAAAGGCTCTCTCTTCTCCTCACCCCTCCCCAGCACCAAGACCAACAATCCCTACCCCCCAGGTCCCAGCTGAGGCACTGGCTTCCTTGGGACAAGAGCCACCTGCACGCAGTCCCAGCCCTGGGGCTCCTCAGTGGCTTCTTGGTATTACTGCAGGGCAGATGGGGCACTTGCTTGACACTGCGCCTCCTCCCGCATCCCTGAGGCTAGGCTGCCCCATCTGCGAGGGATGGGGCCGATAGTGGGGACTCCACAGCAATGAGGCGCTGCAGAGTCTTGGACTTAAGATCACTGCATGTGATGCACAGTGAACATTGTCATCTTAAAGGCTCTGAGAGGTCCTGCGGGACAGAATTAGAACTTTGTTTACTATGTATTTTTCAATCTCATTCGATCTTTGATTTTCTGCTGTGTGCCCATTGAGTTCTGTCCCGAGACCTGAGGCCGCAGCTGTGAACAAAGCAGACGAAACCCCCTGCCTCATGGGGCTCCGTTCCTGTGGGTCCATTTGTCATAGAACATCTGTTAATAATCTTTAGAATGCTACTCTTTTGAACCACCATCCCAAGCTTCTCGACACACAGAGTCCCAGCCTCCAGATGTGACCTTTATGAATGTCAGGGTCAACTGTACTTTCAGGATAAGGAAGAGTCAGGCATTTGAAGAGTCCTTTAGCGTCATTCATTCAGTTGCTACTTCTTTGAATCATGTGAATATTGTCATGTGAATATCGTTGAGTACCTACAGCGTGCCAGGCTCCTTCTAGGCACTGGAAATTCAAAGGCAAATAAGGGAAAGTTTTGTCCCTGTGGAACTTCCCATCAGATGGGAACTAGAAATAATGAAACTCCTCAAGAAAAAGGCTCCCCCACTGACCTACCCTTCCTCCCCTCCCCAGACTTGCTTCCAGATTCCCCATACTCTCCCAACACTGGACTTCCGTGCCCCACTCAGGACGCGGCTTGCTGTGCTTCAGGCTGAGGCCGCATAGAGCTGGCCCCTCAGCTTCCCTGGCCACTCCCTCTCCCCAGGGGCTGGGAAGAGGTTCCTTGGCAGGGAATTTGCTCCATCTGCTGCTAGGCCAGCAAACCCCCACAGGGTAAATCAGCAGCACAGCTGACAGTGTGTCCACGAGGCCTGAAGGTGAGAGGACCTGACGGATTATGAGGGGACAGTGGTCCTGGAGGGCAGAGGGCCAGGATGGCTGCATGTCTGTCAGCAGAGCCCACAGAGAGGCTGGGACCTGCTCAAGGCCACCTGGATAAAGGCTGGGACAGCTTATTGTGCAAACATGGGGGGCGGCTGTGGGTCACCAGGCCAGGCGGTGACAAACCAGAGGGTCTTAAGCCAGACCTCGTGGTTCTCTGGGTCTTAATTTTCCTGTCTGTAAGACAGAAGCGACGGATTAGATCATGACATCATTTTAGGCTCAGTTTCAACCTTCTTCAGTGGAATCTGGGAGTTTCTGACCCGCCCCTCCACCTCGCCTTCCTCTTTCTTCCCCCACTCAGGGTCTGAGAGCTTTAAAGCTGAGCAAACAAACGTGTCCAGGCCCATAGGGAACAGGTGGTAAGGGAGGGCACAGCTATTTTTATCACAGTTTGAAGAATTTTCACAGCTGCTTCTGTTGAGTCCTCACACTTTCTGTGGGCCCAGGCTATTGGGGTGGCAGACGTCACCGAGGGTATGATGGGATGGGGTGCACTTCTGATAGAGAATCTGCCCAGCTGATGCCTGACAGGCCACCATTAGGGCTCCATCGGAGGCAGCTAAGCTTTGCCTTCTTTCCGTGCTCCTGGAACATGGGAGCCCAGAGGAGAGCTCTGCACTGAGGCAGTAACTCTAGCAGGAAGGAGGCCGGCCATTCTCAGAGCGCTGGGTTTGGAGGGGAGACATGGATTACCCAGGAAAGTCTGCAGAGCCAGTTTGCCTTTTTTAGCAAACGTTTATTGTGCCCCTATAACATGTTGGCCCTGGGTGGGGGAGCCAAGGGGAAGCTGTTTCAACAGTCTTTTCTGTGGATTAATGTGAACTGAGTTCACTGATTTGGGGCCAGGCACTGCACTTCACACTTCACAGAGGTGATCTCAGGTATTGCTCTGTCTTTAACACCTGATCCCAGCCAGATCTCTCCAGTCCCACCTGTACTGCCCAAGGCCAAACCCCACCTCCCTCACATTTTGCCACAGCCCTGAAATAGTGCCCACTGGTCCCCCTCTCTCTCATCTACAACCCTTCACTCAGCACCCAGGAAGAGATTTTTTGAAAGTATGAATGAGATCCCAGGTCTTTTCCCCACTTAATCACCTCCCTCCCCTCTCCCCACAGTCTCCCCTTATGCTTCAAATAAAGACCCAACTCCTTATTGCCTGACCTGTGAAGAAACTCCCTAGGGTCTGCCCTTCACCCACCTCTCTCTCTCTCTCTCTCTTTTTCTTATTCTCTTGTTCAGGTAGTAGAATTAGATAAATTATAATCCTCAGTCCATAACATAATCTCATCTTTATTTCAAGTGTCATTAGTTCACTCACAGGCCTCTTTTATTTAGTTAAACATATAGTTATTTTAAATAATGTAGTTAGCACCTTCAACACCACATCTAACAGAATGATGCAGATGAATCTCAAAAGCATTACGTTAAGTAAAAGACACCCAGACACAAAAGATACATACTGTAGCTTCCATTTATAGTAAAGATTCTAGAAAAGGCAAGACCATAGGGACAGAAAGCAGATCACTGGTTGTTGGGGCCAGGTGCGGGGGTGAGACAGCATGCAGCTCGGCAGGAGGGATATTTGGGAGTAATGAAAGTGTCCTGTGTCATGACTGAGTGGTGGACTCATAACTACCTATGTTTGTCAAAATTTATTAATTTTACATTAAAACTGGAAAATTTTGTTATGTGAATTAACCTTCAATAAACCCAAAACAAGAACAAAAACGACTAAAGCAAACCTGGAATCTCCAACAACATTTGACCTGTCATCCTCACCTGCACCATAGACTTGAGCCAACCATCATCCAGAATCCTGTGTCCATCACCCTTTTGCTTGCTTTTTTATAGTTATATCCGCCCATCTATACTTCTTAAAAAGTATATTTTAAAATTTTAGTTGTTTTTAACTCTATCAAAAGGGTAGTAAACTGCATTTAATATTCCAGGGCCTTTTTTTTCCCCCTTAACTTACATTCCTAGGAATTATCTACTTTGTGGCATGTCACTGTGATTCATTCCTTCCAATTGCTGTTGAATACTCCATCCTCTGAATATACTACACATACCCGTCCCTTGCCTTTGATGGACACTTGAGTTGTGATTGAGGACTAAGGACAGGGCTGCCTGGAACATAAACGTGCACGCCTCCTGTGCGCATGCGCAAGATTTTCTCAAGGGTCTATGCTAGGAATGAAACTGCTGGACCACAAGTGAACTCAGCTGTAGGTGTCACCTCTTCTTTGACCTCATGCGCCCCCCCCCCCCAGCTCCTCCTTGACTATGCTCCAGCCACTCTGACCCTCTTCTCCTTGAACAAGCCAAGTTTATTATAGCCCCCAGACCTTTACACTTGCTGTCCTCTCCATCTGGAGTGCATTTCCTTTAGGGTTTTCCGTGGCTGGCTTTTACTTATCCTCTAGAACTCATTCAGACACAACCTCCTCAGCCCAAATGTCACTCTCCCTGGCCCCCCATCTAAGTGAGCGACTTCTGTTCCCACCACAGTCAATAACATGTTATTTTCTTTAGAGCACCTACCACCACAAACAGAAATAGACTTTTTTTTTGGTTTGTCATTGTTTCCCCTACTAGAGGCAAGCTCCAAGAGAGCTGAGACCATGTCTTGTTCACAGTTGCACCCCCAGCACAGCCTGATATAGAGAAAATAAGGAACAAAATTTTTTGCTGATGTGGATACTAATACCAATCTCATGTTAGAGATGTGAAATGTGAGGCTCAGAGAGGTTAAGCCACGTGCCCAAGGTTGAAGAGCTTGGAGGTGGCAGGATTTGAATCCAGGTGTGGTCAGTTCCAAAGCCCATGTTCTTTCCTGGAAGAGGCTGGCTTGTACTGATGTGGACTTTCCTTCCCCCTCCCCTGTTATCAGCAGGTCATTCAATGTCACCTGTGTAGACACATGAGGGAATTCTCTGGCTAGACAGGTGGCATTGTGTAGAACTCCAGGTCTTGCTGTTGGCTGTCTTCCACCACCTCCAACCTGCAGTGCGTGAGGTCATGGCCTTGGACCATGGGAGACCTGGCCTTACACCACCTGTTCCAGAAATGGGGCCCAGTCCAACCCCCCACCCAGCTTCTGCCTTATATTAGAGTCCCAGGCTCTGGTCTCTTTCTGTCATCTCAAAAGTCACGATGTTTCGGCTGCTGAGCTCCCTCCTATTGGTGGCCCTTGGTAAGATCCCAGCCTGTGCCTGTGCTGCCCTGGGTCAGGAACCCTTGAAGTCTGCCACCTGCCCTGGGTCTAGAGGGTCTTTAGCTTGTACCTAGAGCATGTTTGTGGAGGTTTTCAGATTGGTGCTGGAGCAGGATAATGGAGGAGAAGCCATGGATGGACCAGCTCAGGAGAAAGACCCAAAGGGCTATGGTGGGAGTCCTCGATGGGGCCAGTAAACACAGTTCAATGGTGACGAGTTTGGGCTCTGTGGTTAGACTGCTTAGGTTGGAATTTCTGCTCCTTTGCTTAACCCTCCAACTCTCTTCTCACACTCCTTTTACCCCACTCCATATTCTATGGTCTAACCTTTTCCTGGCCTCTCTGCCATGTTACATTCCAGCTCAGGGTCACCCCCTCCAAGCAGCCTTCCTTGACTGACAGTAATGGTAACAGATAATGTTAATTGAGTGCTTACTGTATGCCAGGAAGAATGTACGGATTTTTTCTTCTATTATTTCATGTAATTCTCACAACAGTCCGGTGAGGTTAGTCCTGTCTATTATCCCCACTTTACAGATGGGGAAACTGATCTTCAGAGAAGTAGAGTAGCCCATCTTACAACAAGGAGCAGAGCTGCACTTTGAACCCAGGCAGTCTCACTCCAAAGTAACTTCTTTTCATGGTAACAGCTATGACTTCTCAAAGGCTCTTAGGCTCTAGGCACTGTTCTGAGTGTACCAAACCCTTTCTTGCTGCCATGGGAAGAGGCCACACGTTCATCTCCACCCCTGCACTCTTAGGACTCTGCTCTAGTCCAAATGCTCACTGTTCATATGCGGCTACTGAGGTCCAGAGAGGGGAAGGGGTTTGCATGGGATCACATAGCCAATCTGTGGCGCAGCTGGGACTGGGACCCAGGCTGCTTCTTTGCTTTTGGGTCCCTCTAGCTGATTGACATCTCTATTCTCCTTCCCAGCCTCTGGCTGTGGTCGGCCTTCTTTCAACCCGTCCACCCGTGTGGTCAATGGTGAGGACGCGGTCCCCTACAGCTGGCCGTGGCAGGTAAGGTTAATACCAGCAGCACTGTTTCCTGCCATAGGCTTTGCACTTCATGCTCTGACTGCAAGGTATCCAGTCTTAACCCCATTGCTTTGCTTCCGGTATCCACTTCAGCTTTCAAAGGCCAGAAAACCCTTAGATAGTCTCCTCCATGTGGGTGTTTTGCCCATTCAACCTGTAACCCCCACGGGACTGTTTGCCAGTTAAAAGTGGAATCTGGGGAGGGCAATGTTTAACCCAAGGGTTGGCGCACTAAGTGGAGTTTCAGGTTCTACATGCAGGGTGGGCAAAAGTAGGTTTACAGTTGTTCATATGGCAAATAATACAACAATTTATAGATAATAAGACAAGAATAAACTCTGTGTTTCATGTACTCACAACTGTAAACCTATTTCTGCCCAACCCTGTATAGGGAGGGAGATTTCTGGGGACTCATTTCTAGACCCCTTGAATTAAACAAAGGGCTATAAGGTCTAAGAGCAATAAATGGACAAAAGGCTTTATAGAAGTCAGTGGAGGGAGACACAGAGGGCTAGACCACTGGACAAACACAGTAACAGCTAGCCACATATGGTTATTTCAATTCGAATTAATTAAAGTTAAATAATGTTGCTCTAGCTGGGTAGCTTATTTGGTTAGAGTGTCATTCTGATATGCCAAGGTTGTGGGTTTGATCCCTGGTCAGGGCACATACAAGGATCAACCAATGAATGAGTAACTAAGTGGAAAAATTAATCTCTCTCTCTCAAAAAATAAATCAGTAGATAAAAATTTAAAAAGTATATAAAACATTTCCATCACCACAGAAAGTCCTATTGGATGGTACCAGTTTGCAGCAGGAGTCAGCGAACTCATTCTATAAAGAACTAGAGAGTGAATATCTTAGCCTTTGTTAACCATATAGTTTTTACTGCAGTGACTCATTTCTACCATTGTAGCGTGACAGCAGCCACAGGTGATATGAAAAAGAATGAGTGTGACTATTTCCCAGTAATCTTATGTACAAAAACAGACCTTAAGCCCGACAGGGCCCACGGGCTATAGTTTGCAAGGCTGTGGTTTAGAGAGAGCTTTTGAAAATCAGAATGTAGGAAATAAGAAGGGAGGCAGAGGACTTTGGGTGGGTTGTGCCTCAGAGGGCCCAAGAAGCCTCAAAAGAACTGAGATTCGGAAGCGCTGGGGGCCTGATAGGGCAGAGGGCCTTGGGGATCTCAAGACCGGAGGTTAAAGGACAGGAAATGCTTAGGTTCCCAGGGAGGCAATAGGGCTGGGGGTTAGAAGGCTTTGGAGAGTCAGAATGTGAATCTAGTGGAAAAGTGACAGGGACACCATGAACAGTTGCGTAGGTTGGGCACTGCCTTTTTCTAGAGGGCACCATTCTTTTCTGCATAAATAAAGCCTCTGGAGTGGTACAGTGCACAACTTACATAGCCATGGGTGGCAACCCTCATTGTGGGGTCCAAACCACTCAGGCTTCTCCCTCTCTGGCTCCCAGGTCTCCCTGCAGGTTGAGAAGGATGGAACCTTTCACCATACCTGTGGTGGCAGCCTCATTGACCCCGAGTGGGTCATGACTGCGGGCCATTGCATCTCGTGAGTTCTCTCACTTGCCCTGTCCCTGCACATGATCCAGGCAGGCCACAATGGCGTGGGTGACTGTGGGAGGGAGGGAGGGAGGTAGAAAGGGAGGGAGGGACACCAGTCAGGCCTGGACTGACCTCACCTCCACTGGCAGGAGCTCCAAGACCTACCAGGTGGTGTTGGGAGAGTATGACCGGTCTGAGGAAGAAGGCTCCGAACAGGTGATCCCCATCAACTCTGAAGACCTCTTTGTGCACCCACTCTGGAACCCCAAATGCGTGGCCTGTGGGTAAGTGAACTCTCAGGCTTGGGACCTAGGGGCTCCTCTACTCATCCCTCTGTGACCCAAAGCATATTCTGAGAAGACTCCCAGGGTCAGTGGAGCTGGATCCAGCAACCTGTTCCCAAGTTCTACATGCTGAGGGTCAGAGCCAGCAGAGTCTTTCAGGTCTGACAGGGGTGTCCAAACTTTTGGCGTCTCTGGGCCACACTGGAAGAAGAGTTGTCTTGGGTCACATATTAAATACACAAACACTACTGAAAACTGATGAGCCAAAAAAAAAATGTTTTAAGTAAATTTATGATTTTGTGCTGGGTCACATTCATAGCCAACCTGGGCCGCATACGGCCTGCAGGCTGTGGGTTGGATGCCCCAGGGACACTAGAGCCCAAGAAGGGGTGGGGACTCCCCAAAAGCCACTTGGCTAGTTGGCTTCAAAACCCAGGATTCCTCTGGAACCCACTCCCCCAAGTCCAAGGGTTCTTCCATTCAATGGATGTCACCAGCGCATCCTCGGTTCCCAGCACCATGGGCAAAAGGAGGTGCATTGGACTAAGAGTCAGGCTCTAGCACTAAGTCATCATGTGGCCTGGAAAAGTCACTGTCCTCTGGGCCTCAGTTTTGCCACTTGTCAAGAGTGAACTTCTGGGTAGTTATAAGGGTCAAGGAGGCAATCACTGGGGCACAGGGCAGGGCCTCCTGAGCCCATCAAGCATATGCAAAATTGTCTGGCTGGCTCAGCATGTTCCGGTGGGAAGGTCAAAGAAGAGAGCAGATCCCCTAGAAGTGCAGAACAAGAGTGAGGAATCGTGATGATAAGAACTTGACCCATCCTCATGGGGCTCCTGGGGTCAGTGGAGAGAGAACTCAGACCCAGGTAAAGTGGCTTGTAAGACGAGCAGGTAGACGAAGACAGACAGCGGGGGCTCTCAAAGCGTGGTCCCCAGGCCAGCAGCAGCATCCCCTGGAAACTTGTGAGAAATGTGAATTTTCAAGCCCCAATCTGACCCCCTGCATCAGAATCTCTGGGCTGGGGCCTAGCAAGCTGTGTTTTAACAGGACTTCCTGGTGATTCTGATGCAGCTGAAGTGTGAGGATCACTGGGGTAAAAGCTGAGGACATTTGTGAAGGTCAAGGATGAGCAGGGAGCTGAAGGGGGCAGCCTGGAGGTGAAATATCTGGAGGAAGGGCTGGGAGGTGCGGCTTGGTCTGGCCAGAGGACCAAACTCAGTGACTCTTTCCTCCATCCCAGCAATGACATCGCCCTTATCAAGCTGTCTCGCCCTGCCCAGTTGGGAGACTCAGTCAAGCTTGCCTGCCTCCCTCCAGCAGATGACATCCTGCCCGATGAGGCATCCTGCTACATCAGTGGCTGGGGCCGTCTCTCTAGTACGTGCTGACCATCCACCCAGCCACAGGGACAGCGGGCAGAAAAATAGGACCTGGGAGCTGGGATTGAGGGCAAGCCCAGGACCAGTCTTCCCATTCTTCCTCCAGCAGAAGTCTTCTCTCGCCATCCTCCCGAACATCAATATGTTCCATTGAACTTTCTTAGTGTCTCCTGAGTGCCAGGTGCTGGGGATGCACGTAGACAAAGCAGACAGGACTACGTAATTGGTGGGAAGAGAGTCCCCATCTTCCCCATTAGAAGAGCTGCCTGCCTCAAACCATTCGCCCCACACTGGGGCTCCCAGCCCTGACTCCCAGACCCCAGCCCAAGCCCTGTACCCCATGCCCCCCCACTCAGTGCTCTCTACCCCCACAGCTGGTGGGCCACTCCCTGACAAGCTGCAGCAAGCCCTGCTGCCAGTGGTGGCCTATGAGCGCTGCTCCAAGTGGGACTGGTGGGGCGGCTCCCTGAAGAGGACCATGGTGTGTGCTGGCGGGGACATCCGCTCCGGGTGCAACGTGAGTCAGCTCTCATCTGTCTGAGGTAGTGTTGAGCTACAGCCACACAGCTGGGGCGGTAGGGCCCTGCTGTGCCACTGCCCTCTGCCTCGAAGGCGCAGGAGGAATCTTACCTGCTTGGCCCATTCAGCTTCCAGGCCAGGGAGGACCAGCAGAAAGTCAGGTAGTCGAGTCGCACATCCTCAGCCTGGGAGTCATGACCATTGGATTCTAGTCCTAGTTTGCACACTGACTTGACCTGGGCAAGTCACTGTCCCTCCCTGGTCCCGAGGCTTCGCTGTCAGCACAGCAAGGGATATTGACCTCTAAAGTCATCTTTGACTCTGTTGTCCTGAAGTTATAATTAACCAAACTGTCATTGTATTATAAGTGAACATGAACAATGACATTAAGAGTTAACTGTGGTATTAATAATGGGAACTACCATTTATTAATTGCTTCCTTTCTACTAGGCATTGTGCTAAGATCGTATGTCTATCATCTCGTTTAATTTTCACAACATTCCTTAAGACTGATACCATTCCCCATCATAGATGAGCAAACTGAGGCTCAGGCAGGTCAAATATCCCCAAAGTCAGAACAAATGCCATTCCTTAAAGCTCAGACATGGCTCAGTCCCCCGCTGCTCTCTGATGATTCCAGGGTGACTCTGGAGGACCCCTCAACTGCCCTGCTGCAGATGGCTCTTGGCAGGTCCATGGCGTGGCCAGCTTCGTTTCTGCCTTTGGCTGCAATGCCCGCAAGAAGCCCACCGTGTTCACACGTGTCTCAGCCTTTAATGACTGGATCCAGGAGGTGAGCAGGCCAGCAAGTGGGAGGGTTCCGGGTGCCGCTCTTCTGAGAGGTGCGGAGGGGAGGGAGCTTGGTGCTGGGAGGAGGGTGAGAACAGCAGATCCGGAGGAGGGGCTCAAAGGATCCTAGCAGGTCAGTAGTGAAGCAGCCCTTAGTGACATTCCAGAGGGTTTGGGGATGTTTTCTGCTACAGTGTGGCCCCAAGAACTTATGGCTTCTGGGTGGGGCTTTCAACTACTGCTGAATTTCCTTGTTTCAACAAGTGTTTATGAAGCGCCTCCTCTGGGACTGAGGTCCAGGTCTTTTCTTGTCATGAAGGACAAAGTGATGTGTCCGAAGGTTGCCTCATAGGGGGACAGATAATCCAAAGAGCAATAATGATGAGCTGAGGCCCCAGTGAGAGTGCCGATATTCCCTGGAGCTGAATGGTCGGAGGAGGTTAATAATGTTCATAATAGTAATAGTCATCACTTATTAACTACTTAACTATGTATCAGGTACTGTAATGAGAGTCTTAGTTAATAGTTTAATTTAAAACGCCCCTGAGGTATCTGATTACCCCCAATATACAGACGAGGAAGCTGAGGCACAGAGAGATCAAGTCATACTCCCAGTGTCACAAAGCTAATGAATGGCATGGTTGGGAGTTGAACCCAGTTTCATCTGGCTTCAGAACCTGCACTCCTAACTAGACTATTCTGGGTTTTTTCCCTGTTTTTCCAGACCATGGCAAGCAACTAGAGCCAAGGCCTGTGTGGCAATACTCATCCACGTGCTTTGCAAAAACAATAAAGGTCCCTCAAAAAATCCCAACCCAAGTCTTGCGTCTTTCTTTGACTCACCTTTAGCCCTCCAGCCCTTTCCTAAAATCCTAGATTTGATATGTAGAGACAAGACCAGATCCAACCCTCTTACATGAAGATGAGGAGGAAAAAAAAGAGACCCAGAGAGAAGAAGGGAATTGCTACAGGGTGACCAACCATCCCGGTTTGCCTGGGACTGAGGGGGTTCTCAGGACACAGGACTTTCAGTGCTGAAACTGGTAAAGTCCTGGGAAGTTGGTCACCTGGTATAGCCACACACAATCATTCGCTTTCCAATGCAGTTTGAAAAGCATGGTAAAATCTGCAGAAAAATGGACTTTTCCACCTCCTTGGGAGACTCATGGTGGAGTGGGAAGGGCCACGTGTTTTCTGCTCCCACTGATGGGCTAGGGAAGGAGGACCACAGTCATTCATTCATTCAACAAGCATTCATTCTTTGTTCCAGGGAAGGGCTTAAAGAGGGAAGACTACATGGTTCCTGCCCCAAAATAGCTCATTATTTAGGTAGAAATAAGCATATCAGAATCATCCATTACAATATTTACTGATACCTCCTTTGTGGAAAGTTCAGGGCTGGGAGTACAGAGGTGAGTAGGGCGACCTGGGGAGAGCGCTTGCTGTGGGGCGCGGGCGGCGGGGGCAGGCGCAGGCACAGAGGCATGTGCAATGCCGAAAATGAGGTCGGAGCCCCGTGAGCTCTTTCTGAGTCCCAAGAATGCTGCCACGCAGCCAAAAGCAACATTGAAAACAACTAATTCCTTTACTTATGTTTTTTCCTGAATACTGTGAAAGGAAACATGGTCCCAGCGAGGACACACGTATATAATTTTTAATATTAATGCTATCTCATTGCCCCCCTTAAAATTATATTTCTAATTCTGAAAGGTTAAAAGGTACAACATAGCAAATAATGTAGGACACACCTAGGTAGCTTTCCTCCAGAATGAACAAATTTCACATTTTTGCTTCATATTTTTTAAAATAATGGCTACAGTTAAGGTGGAGGCTCCTTTGTACTCTTCCCAGGGGTCACCATTATCATGAGTGTGGGGTCATTACCTATTACTGCTTTTCCTTTAGGGCATATAGTAGGGTAGCTCTTGCCTGTCCTTTGAAGTTGGGCTTGGCCATGTGGTTTGCTCTGGCCAAGAGAAAGATCTGAGAGGACGATTTGCCAAGCTCTCTTTCCCCCTGCTCTGGCAACTGTTGGCTACTGGTCAGCCTGGTCCCAGGGTGAGGTGACATGGTGCAGGGAGGGCCTCTGCTGACCCCTGCTGGACATGTAGCACAAACAAGAAATAAACTCTTGTAAGCCACTGTGATTTGGGGTATTTGTTACAGAAGCATGACACTAACTTATCCTGACTGATAAAATGAGTTTGGTGTTTATCCTTCTCCTCCATGCTGTTATATTTTTATGGCATATATAAATATCCATAAACAACACATTGCATTGCTTGAGTTCTTAAAAAATACATTCATGGAAACAGACTCATAGATACAGAAAACAGAACAATAGTTGCCAGAGGAGAAGAGGGTTGGGAGACTGGGTGAAAAAGGTGAAGGGATTGAGAAGTACAAATTGGTAGTTACACAATAGGGAATGCAGAGTGCAGCATAGCAGATGTAGTCAATAATATTGTAATGACTATGTATGGTGCCAGGTGGGTACTGGAAATAACAGGGGAATCACTTTGTAAATTATACGGTTGTCTAACCACTATGCTGTACACCTGAAACTAATGCAAAATAATATTGAATGTAAACTGTAATATAAGATTTTTAAGAATAAAATTAAATAAATAAAAATACACACATGGCTTCATACTGTATGGATGATTTTGCTTATTTTATCCAACATTGTGTTTCTAACATCTATTCAGGCTATACTTCAGTGCATTGCTGCTGGTTTTGTAGAGTCTCTCATTACACAAGTTATTTATCCTCTCCCTACTAATGGACATTCACAGCAGGGCCAATTTTTTTGTGACAGCAGATAGTGCCTCTGTGAATGTCCTTGGACATATCTCCAGGTGCACATGTGTAAGTTTCTCTAGGGTATATTCTGAGAAATGGAATTGCTGAGTGGGAAGGTGTGCTCATTTGCAACTTTACCAATTGCCAAATCGCTCTCCAAAGTGATTGAATCAACAATACTTCTCAAAATTCCCATTTTTTTCCCATTCACTGTCACTACATATTACAACTGCCCCACATTTTTCTCCTAAAACCACTCCTGGAATCTCAAATCTCCCCCACAAAGGTTTCTTCCAGTCCCTACCCCCACTCCAGCTCCTACAAAAGCCCAAGAACTGGTCTGGCAAGGAAGAAACTGCGTCAAGCAGAGCAGAGACCTCTGTGTCATGGGATTGTGGGGGAGGATGGAAGGAATTCTGGAACCAGCATATGTTAATCATTTCTACTGAGTGAGACAGAGACAGTGCCAGGGGATATATGTAACTTTCAGGTGTTCCCAAAGCACAACAGGGTTGCAAGCGTTGAGCATCTCCTTCTTCCTCATGGGTCAGGGAAGGGACCCTAGACAATCTTCCAAAAATAGTTTTAGGATAAAGTGCAGGCGAATGTGTAAAATTCCACCCTGTGGCTGGGCAGTGGGTCCTCAGAGGGAGGCTGAGAACTTCTATGACACCCTTCTCATACAAGAGGAACAGAGAATTAGGAAATCTTGCCTAAAAGGGCCACCAATTTTATCAATAATTCAATTTCCTTTTGTTTAATCTCTAAACCTCAAATATTCAGATCCTTTAAAAACCACAAAGTCAAAGCTTCTGGCCAAGAAGGCAGGCTGGGTAAATGTGTTCTCACATCCTCCCGCAACCACATCAAAATTACAACCGAACTACAGAACAACCATCATTCAGAATTGCCTGAAATCTAGCTGAACAGAAGTCCTATAACAAAGGATAAAAGAAGAAGCCACATCAAGACTGCTACACAGGGAGCCATCCAGTCTCCAACATGGTAATTGCGGATGTAAACACGATATTTGGTTTCATTCCAGTGAAACAAACAGTGAAAAATGCTTTAACTATCCAGCCACCTGAGCAGGACAGAAGTGCGCAAAAACAATGTCTTGACGTATGTGGAACAAGTTACTGATCAGACGCTGAGCTTCTTGCTTTCACCATTCTAAAAGACACCCCTGAAACCTGCTATTGTGAAAGTCTTGTGATTACTATGAGACAGATGAAGCAGCTTTTGCTGAATATAGTGCCCCTTGCAATGCAGACATGGAGCAAGGAAATGTCTGAGGCCCATATCTATAAATGGCTTTGCAATCTCCAGAATCAAGGCTCATTAAAAAGACTGTTTTATTTCTGAATATAGATGCCAAATATAGAGTATCTTTAAAAATCATAGTCTTGAAACCTATATAATTTTATTAACCAATGTCACTCCAATAAATACAATAAAAAGTTTTAAAAATCACTCAGTCAATAATTTAATTTTTGAGTAACTAGAATGTCAACACCAACAATTCACTGTTTTTGTTTTCTAAAGAGTGAAGAACAATCCACTTGGAAAAGCACAATAGCTATACTTCAATTCCCTTTTAAAAATGAGAAAGTATCAGTGTTGCAATGTTCTCTTTTTAATCATGCGATGTCAACAATTTAGTTCTCATTTTTAAAACATTAAAGTGTCAATAATTCCTTTTTCAATCTTAAGAGAGTCAACAATTCCATTCCCTTTTTCTTTTTCAAAACATTAATATTGGCTACATTTTAGGAATTTTCACTTTGGGAAAGACTTTTTTAAATCACTCACTTTCCCACCTCTCATACACAGCAACTGCTATCATTTTGATATACTTCCTTCCATTTCTTTTTCTTTCCATTTAGAAAACCTATCAACTGTTAGATTCAATGAAGATGGACTGATCACTTACTGGTATTCCATGCCAGGTATGAGCAGAGGAAAAATGACCCAAACTTGCTTTCGCCAGGTGGCTGAGTTGGTCAGGGTATCATTCTGTGCACCAAAGGGTTGAGTGTTTGATTTCCGGTCAGGCAACATACCTAGATTTCTGGTTTGGCCCCAGTTGGGGCATACAAGGGAGGCAACCAATTGATGTTTCTCTGGCACATGATGTTTCTCTCCCTCTCTTTCTCCCTCCCTTCCCACCTCTCTAAAAATAAATAAAAATAAAATCTTAAAAAAATAAATTAAATTAAACTCAAATATATCCTTCGGTGAGGATTTAAAAAAAAAGACCCAAACTTGGGCCAGGCCCTCGGTGAGCCCATAGTCTGGCTGAAGAGCTGACAGGTACACCCAAGCAGGGATGAAGGCTTGACTCAGTGTTCTAATGCAGGCCCAGAGTGATGAGGGGCCCCAGGAGCTGAGGGTCACATTAAGATGGGAAGATCGGAGTTCTTGATGGCCCTCACATGCAGACGATTGAGGCCTCAAGGGATTCCTGTCAAATGTGAATCTCTCAGACCTTTTTTGTCAATACCAAAGACATAGTACTGAGAAACGTCAGTGTCTGAAATCATGTCAGTGAGACCGAAACATCCTTCTCTTGTCTAGTGGGTCAAAGCCAGATTTGACACAGAAGCAGCCTGCATTACTCACCTCGGTGCAAAGCCTCAGGTAAAGGGGTTTTGGACACAACAGTCTATATTTATCCTAACTTTGTGGTATCTAAGAACACAGGACCATGAATCCACTTCTCAGACCAAGCCAGATGTTAGCCCCTTTCCACATAGATAGATCTGCCTTGAGCCTATCAACACTGCTTCATTTCTTTTCTTTTCTTTTTTTTTAAAAAGATTTTATTTATTTATTTTTAGAGCGTGGGGAGGCAGGTAAGGGAGGAAGAGAGGGAAACATCAATGTGTGGTTGGCTCTCGCGTGCCCCCTACTGGGGACCTGGCATGGCCTGCAACCAAGACATGTGCCCTGATCTGGGAATAGCACCCGGCACCCCTTGGTTCCCAGGCCGGTGCTCAGTCAGCTGAGCCACACTAGCCAGGGCTGCTTCATTTCAATTTCACCTAAATTCCATTCTTCCTCCAAATCCTGTAATAACCCTGTTTTTTCCTTTATTTAGTGAGACACCCCATGGTTCCTCTGGGTGCTTGCTGAGTCAAGTTTATAAACCCAGCTTTGTTAAACTACACCTGTGTCCCTGGTGGTCTTTATCAGATTGACTTTATCATAAAATTCAAGCCTTCTCTGTTCATTCATTCATTCATTCATTTATTCATTCAACAAATGTCTGTCCAGGCTATTGCTGTTTTAAATGTTGGAGACATGGTGACAGGATGACAGATGAAAGTCTTTAATCTAGTCCACCTCTCTCATTTTACTGATAGGAAAACCAAACTGGGAGGAAATGGAAACTGCACTACAGGCGTAAGAAAAGGGCCCACAGTAGCTAGGGGAGGCAGGGGTGGGACCACAGCAAGGACCCCTGGTTCTCCAACTACCAGCTGGAGTACCTGGCCATCTAGTTTACTGACCACCAGTGGCAGCGTAGACAAAAGGCACATCTTCCCTTCCCCAAGGACATTGGCTCTTGGGGTGATAACCCAGTAGGGGTCTTTGAGGTGTCCCTCTTAGTCCCTTGCCTGCCCCATTTGGATAGGCCAGTAAAAGGAGAGTGGGATGAGCCACCCAAGTGCCTCTTCCTAACAGCCAAGTCCTCCGTCTTTCAGGGTTAAAAGAACAAGATGGAAGGGCTGCCTTGGTTCGTTAGCATCTTTGCACTGCTTCTTACAGGTTATGCTATTTAACCTGTGTGCCCAGATTCAAACCCAAAATCAAACTAGCTCAGTATGACTTTAAAAATTTCAGTTAACCATCAGTAATTGGAAAGTCTTGGGAAAAGGTACACGGGACTAAGACTGAGCCTCCCAGATGCATGGGGTCTCCCCCTGGACAAACTGTTAAAGCCGCACGGCATATGCCCAGTTCCGTCTGGGTAGACCGAGGCAGGGGTACTTAATAGACTGTGCCCATTTCGTCACATGAAGTGATTCCACGGGGCGCCATACAGGACCACTGTCTGCAAACAGCAGCCACCCAGCCTTCTCTTTTGGTTTCTTTCCTCTGGATGGTGCAAGGACTCAAGGGTGTAACTTTTGGGTGGGGCGTTGACTCAGCTGCGGGCGGGCTTCTAGAGTGTCTCAGTTCCCGCTTCATCCGCTTCGCTTTGCGGGCGGGCAAACTGCGTCTCAGGAAGACAAAGAACTTCCGCGAAGCGGAAAAGCTGCCTAGGCTGTACCCAAAGCTCCACGCGGAAGGCAGGACTGAGGACCGAGAAAGACCAAAGCCCATCACGGGTTAAAACCATAAAGTTGCGGAGCACCCCCCCTCCCCGGAGGCCTAGAGAGACCTTGCCCCTCTAACCTAGTCCCCCTCTACTTCCAATTTCCGGACAGGGAGAGACTTCCGGTTCCGGCAATGGGCTACAAATCTCTGCACACGGGCGGTGGTCTCCCTCTCTCGGAGCTGGTTGAGGGGCCTCTCCTTTTGTGGTGAGCTGCCCCTGTTCCTCCGCCCTCTAAAGTAGTAAAAGCGCCAGTGAACGCCCTGTCCGCCTCCTTCCCCTGCGAACAGTCTGTTGAGAGCTCGGGACCCTCGTGTCGGCCGGCCTTAGAAGTCGGGAGGCCCTGCCCTTGGGGTCCACCGGCTGCTCCGCGTGGCGTGACGTTGGGCCGCACCTCAGTTGAGGAGGAGCAGGTCCCGGTGTGGATCCGCAGAAGCGCGTTTTCCGGCCCGGGCTAGTCCCTGTGAGCCGCGCCCATATTGGTGGGAGGAGTCGGGCTCGGCTCCCCGCCGGAGACGCCGGGGATTTTTACTCGGCTGAGCGGTCCCATCACTTTCTGTTCTTGTCACCTTGGGCACGTCCCCTCTCTCAGAGCCTCGGTTTGCTTATCTGTGAGTGGAAGTAACAGTAACTCTCCCACTGGGTTATGGGTAGGATTGGATGAAGGAAAGCCGCCGCGGGATCTGTAAAATTTCAAATAGTACCGGAGTACAACTGGGGCTGTAGAGGGTCGCTATCGAGAGTTTAACCTGAGTGGCTAAGAGGAGCACATAGAAGATAATGTGAAGTGCTCGGCACCATCTCAGAGGGAAGAAACAGTGCTCAGGAAACTAGAGTTAGTAAGTGGTGAGCGCAAGCACCGTGTCAGCTGGTCTTCTAAAACGGATAAAATTTTTTAGCGGCATCCGTCTTTCAAAACAAACCTTGAGAGCTGACCAACGGACAGTGGGGACTTTAGAAGCCAAGGTTGTAAAATCGTCGGTGCTGGAAACCAAAATTACTAAAACGGTATTTTCCTAAGTTGGTTAGGGGTTTTTCACTCAGGGAGGTTTTTCTCCTCCTTGAATTACGAAAACAATACCGAAAGATATAAAATGAAAAATGTTTCCCTCTACCGTTCCTGCCCCTTGGAAGTAAATGCAGTTTAGTTTCTTTGGTAACTTTCCATGTATTGTTTGTGGATAGATAGGTCATACAAACCTATGTATATGTAGTTTGAATTTCCTCAGATGGAATCATATTGGAGCTATTGATCTGTACCTTGGTTATGTGGTAATGAGTGAAGGACATCTTCACATAGACCAACACTCACAGGCCTTCATTCTTTACAAGGCTGCACAGTATCCCGCTGAATGGCTGACAGTACCTTGTTTAATCATTTTCCTGTTTATGTTCACATCATGTCCCAAATTTTGCTTTCCCATACGCAGTGTTTCATCCACCCTCCTTCACTAAATACTTCCTATTTTTCCAAAGCACCCCCGAGTTACGACATTTTGCTTTTGCCCTCATCACTCTAGTTAGTAACAACTTATATCTGGGAGTGAGGACACTTTATTTGATAATGTAAGTAGAATTGTACCCCAAGAATAGAGTCTAGGATCAATTCAGGACTTCGAGAAAATGGGTCAGGGAAGCTTTAGAGAGCAGGTGATTAGGAGCTGAGGACTAGTTATGTAGGGCAGCTGGTCAATGTTGGTGATTGTTGGCCTCTTGTCAGTTGTTACCCAGGACACAGATTTGAGTCCCTGAAGTGCAAGGGATTTTAAATGTCAACACTTCTGTGTAGATAAAGGAGGAATTAGTTCTTGGGGAAGGGTAGCTAATGAAAAAAGGGATGAACTCTGGAAACCGACTACATCATAGGGGTTATACTCTTGATTGGACATATCCTGATGTGGAAATTAGTCATTACTGTCATTTGATTTCCCACCCCCGCCTCCTCTTTTTTTTTTTTTTTTTTTTTTTTTTTTAAGTAAAATAGGGTACAATTTTCCTGTAAATAACCCCTTTTGGACTGGGGCCCTAACCCAAATGAGCAAAGCCCTTTTTTTTCTGGCATTTTCCCCATATTTGATTTGCCCACCCCTTCTCACTATAGTTGGTTTGCTAATAATCCAGGAGCCATCAGCCATCTGAACACATTCTGGGAAGTTCAATTTCCCAGGCACTGATTGGAGTAGCTTAGGATCTGGATTTTAATAGAGGCTTTTGGCCTTTCTTCTCTGTGTTCCTTCTCGCTCTCTCTACCCCCCACCCTGATGGCAGCACCTACAGTAACACTAGTAACACTTACTATTCTTTCAGTGTCATGAAAGAGGTGGGCGTAGGTAGAAAAGACCATGAAGTAGATGTAAATGAACAAACCTTTTTCTCTTAGCACCTCTTGTAATTTGCTTTTGGACATCACAGAGCTCCATATAAATTGTTGAAGAAACCAAATACCCATGATTTTAAAGATTTCCCCCATACAAATCATGTGTATATAGTTTTTTTTATTTTAGCATAATGTAAAATATTTTGTAATGGGAGACGGGCAAATGGATGAAAGATTCTCCAGCTAACAAGAGCAGTGTCCTTCACTCTTTCTGCTTTGAGAATCTATCTTCATTTTGGTAAATCATTAACACATTTTCTCAACTCTGTCAATTGATCCAGCAAGAGGAAACCAAAATAGAATTTTTAGTAGCTTTATTAAGAAAACCTATTAAAACAGAAACAGACTCATAGATAACAGAGAACAAACTGATGGTTGCCAGAAGAGATGGGAATTAGGAGGATGGGTGAAAAAGGTGAAGGGATTTAGACATTTAATTTGGTGGTTATAGAATAGTCATGTAAAGTTCAACGTAGGGACTATGGTCAATAATACTATAAAAACTATGGTGGCTGGTAGGTACTTGAATTATTGGGGGGATCAATTTCTAAATTATATAATTGTCCGACCATTATCTGTACACCTGAAACTAATACAAAATAATACTCTGTCAACTGTAATTGAAAAATAAAAGTCTGTATGCATCTTGGGAAAAGAAAAAAAGAAAACCTTTTAAGATCAAAAAGCTGATGGGAACTGGGTCTTGACCAGATCCAGGAGATCAGGATGATTTTAATAGTCTTTGTGGTCTTTTTTTATGACAGTGACTTTTCTCCTTCTCCTAGGAACGTGAGTCATCCTTTTCTGGAGTTTCAGAATGGAGACTGAAGGAGACCCAGAGACACAAAGAAATAGAGAAGTCCACAATGCTCAGATAATGTCACCACCAGAAGAGATGATGGCTAAGGAGCTGGAAGATGTCCTAATAGCAGCTCCCCAGGCCCAGGTTCCACAAGAGCCTTCTGAGCATCCACCAAAGAGCCTTGATGAAGGTTGTGTCGAAGATGCTGATTCCATGCCAGGAAGGAATCCCCTCAACCCTGCAGTCTTCAGGCAGATGTTCAGAAAGTTCCGCTATGAGGATGCACACGGGCCCAGGGATGTCCTTAGACATCTCCTGGTGTTTGCTAGGCAGTGGCTGAGACCTGATATTCACACAAAGGAGCAGATTGTGGAAATGCTGGTGCAGGAGCAATTCCAGGCTGTCTTGCCTGAAGAGCTCAGAGCTCAGGTGCAGAAATGTCAGCCCGGGGCCAGATTCACTGGCTAAGTCTCAAGGCTCACTTCTTGTTGAACCTACAAATGAGACGTTTGGTTAAAGGTTCTCTTTGTTGCAAATTCCTACTACAGTCACGGGAAGTTTTGAACGTTGGTTTTCTTTGAGTTTGCCTTTGACTAATTGTAATAATCAGTCAGAACCCGTATCTGGACCTCTTTTTGCCTGAGGCAGTTCTGTTTCCTGGGACTCAACTCCAGAAGGAGTTTCTCTGCCCTCTTGTTAGGACAATCAGCCTGCTGCTTGTTTTTGTTCTGCTGAATGTCTCCTCTTTTGCACTTTGTGACATCCTTTAATATATTGTTTATAGGTATCCAAAGAGGTAATTGCTTTAACTTTCAGAATTCTTGATTCTTGCTGTTGTGGCATGAGTGGGAGCTTCTGTGACCCCACCAGTAACTCATTTGGGATGTCCTCGAAATATTAAAGTTTGGTTCTTAATAGAAGTGTTCTGTGGTAATTTACCAGTATAGCTCTTAGTAGTCAGCATTTGAGAAAGATAATTATCAGGAATAGCAGAGCTAGAGATAAGAACTAAAACTAGCATTTGCTGAGCTGGGAAATAGAAACAGGCCTGGCCTTTGTTTTCAAAGTCAATTTAAATTGGGCAAAATGGGGTCATCATAGTTAAATAACTTATGCAGAACTGTTGAATTTGCTGTTTCTCCATTTTGATACAGCTTGTCTTCCTAAAGCCATCTGACAGTTCTGGTCTTAGTGAACCAGAGTTCATCCTGGCTCTTGTATATGGAGACCTGTACTTTGCTTGACAGCCGAGACAGAGCAGTAGCTGTGGTTGTGACAGAGTAAACAGCAGCTGCTTTCCCAGCATGACTCAGTCCGAGGAGCCTTTCTGCCTCTGATCTGGCTCTTGAATGTATAGATCTGTTCTGGTAACACACTTGGTGCCAAGTTACAACTAATCTTTTGGGTTAGGGGTGATTAGGTCCATGCTGCTGGGGTTTTTTGGTTTTTTGGGGTTTTTTGTTTTTTTTTTTTAAGTGAGAAGGGAGGGAGAAAGGAAGAGAAACATTGATGTGAGAGAGACATTAATTGGTTGCCTCTCCCACATGCCTCGACCAGGGACTGAACTTGCATGCGACCCAGGCATGTGCCCTGACCAGGAATTGAACCAGTTACCTTCAGTTTTGTATGATGACACCCAATCAACTGAGTATTGCTGCTGGTATGTGTTTAGTCCTTGTGCCTTCGCGACTATTCTAGATGCTAGAATACAAGTATAAAATATGTAAAAAGCAAAGACAAGCAAATAATCATGTTAGGGAAGTGACAGTTGAACTTGAGTAGGAGATCACTAGACAGAAGCTTGGGAATGCAAAAACCTACATAATGCTTGGGGAATGGTGAACGTAAAGACAAGTGAACTATGCCTCTTATTAACTAGGTTAAGCTTTTTTTAATTCTAGGAGATTTAACATTGGTAAAGGAGTTACTAATGCTGGAAGGGTCATGGGTATTTCCTTTGGTCTATAGGAAGTGGGAACTCCTGGTGTTAAGGAATTTCCTGGCCTGTACCAGTTTCTTAGCTATTTCAGCGATCTAGAATTTTGCATGCAAGTAAAGAGGTTTCACAGCAAGACAGCTGAGGTTTCCTGAATTGAGTTAACCTAGCACACTTTTTTTTTTTCCCCAACTTTGGCACTTCAGGGCCAGATAATCTTTTGTGGAGGTTGTCTTAATGCGTTAGAGGATTTTTAGCATCCTTAGCCTCTACCCACTGGATGATAGATAGTAGCAGCCCCGCCTAAGTGTGACAACGAAAAATGTCTCCAGACAATACCAAATGTCCCCTTAAGGAAAATTTGCTCCTGGTTAAGAACCACTGATTGAATAGAGTTCTACTGATTTAATAAAGGTCATCAGAGGCATGCCTCAAATAAGCAACATGGCCAGTAAGTAGTGGAGCTAAAATCTGAGCCTTGGATTTTTGGCCCTGGGCTTTTTTCATCATGTTTGGAAATGTTCATAACAAGTGCCTCTGGAGAACCTGTGTGCAAAATGTTTCTTGTATTTTCACCAAATTGAAAATAATATTTCTTAGATTCATTTGATACAGAGAAAGTATGAAAAAAAAACCCTAAAATGATGCATAAACTCACTTTCTAGGTAACTACAATTGACATTTTTTTAAGATTTTATTTATTTATGTACTTTTAGAGAAACATCGGTATGTGAGAGATTACATTGATCAGTTCCCTCTTGCACGTCCTGAACTGGGGACCCAGCCCACAGTCTAGGCATGTGACCTGACCAGGATGGGGACCTTTTTGTGGTTTGCAGGCCAGTGCTCAATCCACTGAGCTACACCAGCCAGGGGGCTATTGACCTTTTTTAAGATAAAAGATATATTTGCAAGTGGATAGAAAAGTCCAACAGGGTAAAAGGGCATAAAAGGAACATTTAAAGGCTGTGTTCCCATTAACGGTTTCTTATGTACCTTCCAGAAAATAAGGATTATAAATATGTAAGTAGATACATATATACATGTGTGTGCACACATCCCTTTCTTATTTATACAAAACATGCATGTTTAGTGTCTATTTTTTCCTGCTTAATAAGCCTTTGGGGGTTTTTGGTATCAATATGAAGAGATTTACTTTATGTAAAAAAAATTTTTTTTAGCAGCTGCAGAATAGTTCCCTGCATGGCTAATATTAATACCTTAGATGCAGAGTATTTAGGTATGGAGTCAACCTCCAAAACATAAGCGAAGTTTAGAGAAATAAGTGACAGAGCCAAGACTCAATCCTCATGTTCTAAAACCAGAACTGGTACAATTCACGATTGTCCAGCACTGTCTCCCAGCAACCAGCGTGGTGCCAGCTCTTTCGCTATGGAAATGAATATACAGATGAGGTTGCTTGCCCCAAACAAACCCAGGAAGAGGAGAAGCTGGAGGTCACCTCCATTTCATCTGGCTTTAGCTCCATGCCCTTGCCACGGGGCCACTGGCTGGATTGAGAACCGATTCCATTGTTTGAAGGGCTCAGGGAATTTGGAGTACAGTAGTTCCCTAGCTCTCTTGCCATTGCCTGAGATTGTTCCTAAGCTTTCTCTTGGTGAACATTACCCAGTTACCACCATTGTCATTGTCATTTCTTCAGTTGATATAAATCTCAGTTGTAAAACTGGCAACTTTAGTCCTGTTAGTGATGGGGAAGGAAGAGGACAAGGTTGAGGAGCCAGAGGGAAATATTTCTAAAGTGTCTCGTGTCTAATTTTCCCTTTGTGAATATGTTGACTCCAAATTCCACAAAAGAATAATTTTATCTAGTTATTGAGAAATGTTCCTGCCAGATGGCTGCTGGTGAAAGTCAGTGTTGGGACCACAAAGTAATAGGAGATTGCTAGCAACTTGGCTGGTACCATGGAAAAATGTCATCTGTTGGGCAGCTACTCCCTGAGCAGTGAGTGGGTGACCGGCCAACTCCAGAGGGGTGGGGGCTGTAAGGGGGCCATTGTAGTGGCAGCTGGAGAAGTCAAGTGTAACTGGCCTTCCCAGGAGCGTCGTGTGTGGTCAGTTTCCACAGGCCACTGTACAATGCACTTTACAATGACAACTATTTTGCTAAACTTTTTCCACCCACTGTCATGCATTTGTCAGACGTTTTTCCTTTGCCTGGAATGCCCCACCCCCAATCTTTCCAGCCTACTCCTATTCATTATTATGCAGTAGGCCTGGTCACCTTCCTGAAGCTTTTGTTTTTTTATTGATTTCTTGGAGGGAGGAAGAGAGAGAGAGAGAAACATCAATTTGTTTCACTTACTTATGCATTCATTGGTTGATTCTTGTATGTGCCCTGACTGGGGATCAAACCCACAACCTTGGTACATCCGGACGATGCTCAAACCAACTGAACTACCTGGTCAGAGCTCCTAAAGCTTGCTGCTTTTTTTTTTTTTTTTGATGTCTGCCTTCAGTAGGTACCCGAAGCCCTCTTGGGAGCTGTGATAACATGTCAGCTTTAGTTCGCTCAGTCCCTGTTAATTCAGCAAATACGTATCGTGTGCCTAGTGTGCCATACCCTGTTCTAAGTATCACTTAGATACTTACCACTTATCACTTAGTAGAAGTACTGCAGCTAGTTTGTGTCCCTAGGTAGCTTGTGAGCTCCATGAAGATGGAATCTATTCTTGGCCTCCAACACAGGTCTTGCATGGGGCTTATCCTCAAAGGTCTGTTTGATTGTAGGAGACACATGGTTGCTCCCCTGATTTAAGATGTTTCCTTCTACTGAACACAAGTAACTAGAGTTCGTGGGAGACTATTAAGTGCTGTATTGAGAAGGTGGCAGGGAGTGAGATTATTCATTCCTGTGTAGCATGTTGGGGATAGCAGGAAAAATTAAACCAGCAAAAAACAAACAAACAAACAAAAAAAAAACGGGGGGGGGGCAGCTTCACTTAGGTGACTTCCTTCACTCCTCTCCATTCTGCACCTGACCTTGCAATGAGGCGAGGTTAACAGCCCTGCACTGGCTCTGCTTGAAAACTCAAGGGCCCCTTTGGTGCCTAGCAACAACCTGACTGCCCAAAATGGTGATTTTGAAGCTGGGTGTGTCTCCTAGGCAGGAAGCCACCTACACGGCCAAAGCAGCCAGAGCCTCCCCTTCACTTCCTCTGAGCCCAAACTCTGCCTTCAGTTGAAGCCAGTACACTTAGTGTTTCGGAGCCCTGCCTTAGAGCACAAATGGGATGTTTCTAGCAAACATAACTCTAATGTCTATGAGGTATGGGATCTCAGACAAGTCATGTCACCTCTCTGAGCTTCAATGTCCACACCTCTCTTACTGTTCCTGTTTTATTCCTAGCTAGGATCACCCTAGCACAGCATTGCAGGCACAGGAACATTCAATAAATGCAATTGTATCTGAATATGCTTGGTTAGGGGAAGATTCAGTGAGTGATTCTCAGCTGTTCTTTGATCTTCTGTGTCCCTCTCTCAAAGAGCTCCATCTTCTATTTCCTAATTCCTATACATAAAATCCTGTTTTTATTGTTCCACTCCTCCCCATTCCTCTCCTTGTTGCTTATCTTATTCACAGGCATTAAACTTGGTCATAGAAAAAATTTTACACTTAAAAAATCCCAAGTATTTTAGTTTTTAGGCCAATACTGCTGCTGTAGGTGACGTCTATTTTTTTTTTTTTTCTTTTTCTTTTTAGATTCTATTTATTTTAGAGAGAGGAGATGCTAAGGAGAAAGAGAGGGAAAGAAATATCGATGGGTGAGAGAAACATTGATTAGTAACTGCCCACACACGCTCCAACAGACCTGCATCTCAAGTGTGTGCTCTGACCAGGAATTGAACCAGCAACCTTTGGCTTTGTGGGACAGCACTCAACCAACTGAGCCATGCTGTCCAGAGCCTCTTAATTTTTTAAAAAAACTTAAATATAACACGCATCCTATAAAGTACACACAT